TCGCTGCTTGGAGCAGCGATTTCATAAAAAAAAATATTAAATTTTGAAATCGTTGCCCCTGCAGAGATTTCCTTAATTATTCTTTTTGAAATCGATGCCCCGCAGCGATTTCCTTATTTTTAATTTTTTTTTCTATATATTGCTACCTAGGCAGCGATTTCATTTTTTTTAAAAAAATCACATTTTGCAAAATCGCTGCAGAGGCTGCGATTTTGCTTTTTCTGGTGGGGTAAGTCGTTGTTGGTGGAGCGATTTTACCGTTTTGATTAATATAAAAATTTATATACCATTTTAAAACTTTTGTTAATATTTTATACCGTTTATACTTCGAATTCTATATATATCTTTTCTTCCTTCCAAATATTAAGTACTAGCAACAAAGGAGCCAGCAAAGTACCACCACACCACTTTTACAAAAATAATTACTAGTATTATTTTAATAGGTTCCTTTTAATATTTCATTTTTACGTGTCTAATTCATAAAATCAAGAAAATAATTTTTCTGTTGTATACCCTTTTAACTTTTACTGTTGGCAATATTTCATTTTTACGAAATTTACTAATTAATTTTTTAATTTGGGATATATTTTAGTAAATTAATTTTAGTATTGGCAATTACATTATTATGAAGTAATTTTTAAATATTCAAAATTGAGATTAGAATGAAGTAATAAAACTTTATTAAATGAACTAGTGAAATTAAAACTCTTTTTTCCCCCTAAAAAGTATATAGGTCATTGTAAAATAGACCAGGCAGACTATTCATTTTCCCATAAATGACATGCCTTGAAATAATTAAGGATTATATAATACATTATTATTTTAGTACTAATTTATAAGGGTATTCCAAATTAAATATGAGCGGTTAGCATGAATACGGCGTAATAGCTAGCACGATTTATCTTGGTCGGCAAATTAATTTAATATTTCGTCACTCGTATTTTATGTGATATTATTTAAAGAAATCTAATACATAAATATATTTTTTATCTTGATTTCACCTCATATTATGCTCTTCAATTTTCAATACACAAATAAATATTTAAATTATATAAGTGAAACGAAAATATCGAAAGAAAAAAAAATACTGTTTTGGCTAAAATAAAAAGAAGTTTCATTTTCTTGTTTTTCTTCGGTAGGAAGATGCCCTCAGCGGGGACTGTTTAGTATTTTGTCTAGTTTGCATAGACGTATTATAAAAAAGTGTATTTCATGTCGATTTATACATATTTAAAATTAAATGAGTTATATATATTGATTATAATTAAATTACGATATATTATATCTCAACTAAAAGATATTTATAAGTGTTTGTTGAAGAGATGTACTATCAAGAATTGGACAAGGGACGGTGGAAGCACTATGTGTTGTCATTTTCATCATCCCTTTTTCTTCCTTATCTGCACCTCTTCGATCTATTTCATTATATAGCTCTTACTTAGTGCTATATAAGCAAAGAAAAGGACACCCTTATTTTATCTTTTTATAAGTGTGGTGTTGGGTTAGCTCATACTATTTCGACTAAGTCTAGGTATTATCTATCAAATCGAAAGAAATAATCTAAAATTAATATTTTTACATCTAGAAAATTTTGAACTTGGGACAATTTTTTTTTTAAATCATGCCGTTGAAGGTTCAATAGTGTTTTAACTTTTTTTCTGGAGTAACTCAAATCTTTGATTAATGTTGAAGATACTCAATCATTTAAATAACTCTTGCTTTATCTTGAAGTTGATACTTATCTTACGTTATATATGCAATAATTGACAAACTTACCAATGAATTATGTACGAATATCTTTAGTTTTGAATATCAAGAATAATAATTGCATAATTGAATGAGGATTTTGTGTTCTTGCTCTCTTACAAATCAATACTACTAATAATTTTCTTCTTAGCACCCACCATCCCGTCATGCTATTCGATTTTCGGCTAAAAGTGGATGTGCAATGATCTTTATAACTTTAATTACGACTAGAAATGAGAAATTGTTTTATTATCGAACTTTTTAGTCCTAATGTTATTTTTTTAACGTATGAAAAAGCAACATGTGCTTGTAGTTGTAGGCCAATGGGTCTTTTCTCAAAAGTTCAAAGTATTAAAAGGTGTGACAAGCCCCAAACTTTTTTACTACTCTTTTAAAAGAAAGATTCGTACTATATGCTGGGGGCTCAATGATTGTATTTGGACTATGATATTCACTCCTCTCTTCATAATTTTGCTTACCAACAATACGATCCATACACAAATGGTTCTCTATTTTTATTTTCAATTATTACACAAGGAGAACAGTGCAATGATAAAATAATTGTTGTCATAAAGTTATTATTGTTATGAGATTTAATTCGTTATCGAGTTAGAAATGTAACACGATTAGTCAAAACAGTACTAGACAGAGATCAAGGTTGCTTCAAATTGGTTTCAATAATACATACAATGGCTCTTACTTGCTCTTTGTATATGCTCAATTGGTAATAAAGTCAAGAGCTAGCCAGCCGCAAGAACAACTAATGAGCAAATAATTCATCAGTCAAAAACTTTCTACTTACATACAGGTTTAAAATTTCTTCTACGAAGGAGAAGCATCAATAAAAACAGGGAAAGCTTTACTCAGAAATAGTCTAATTACTCTCTATAACTATAATGAGAGAGAGGTGAATTATATATGAATATCGGTTAGATAATTAGTAAAATATAGTGCAAAAATATCATTTTAGTTTGAAGAAGCATTAACAGTTGTTGTATTACAATCAAGACTGAACATTGCAGCAGTCAAAATGCTCAGTAGATTAGTCTCTAAGCTACTACTCTTTCATTAAAACTAAATATTTACATTTCCTACTTACTCTATATACTTCCACCTCTATCGTTATATACGAGCATGGAACATGTAGAGAGTAAGAAGAGGAAATGACGACATGAACCCATTATGGCATTATACTTGAACGCTAGAGTAAGTCTTTGATCGACATGAACAGACACTTTGAATGAACACCAAGATACAGGCATCAGCCATATCTCTTCTGAAAGACTAGGCACCCTCTTGTACTATCTTTACTTACAAACCTCAAGGTGGTATTATTATCTTCAGCAGAGTTCAGTTGGAAGCAAGCATAAGTCTCCCCGTTCGACAACTCAGGCAGCAGTTTGAGAATCTTGTAGTCTGGCTACAACCCTCAAAGTCTCTTTTACTTAAAAATTCAGTTCCAAGGCAATCAACATTCAAGAAAACTAACGGGACAATTGACAGCATAGCATTCTTACAGGTGAAAACACCACTGTAAGTTTGGCGTGATCAGAAAGTGAATAATCTTCGGGCCATGTTCCTTTCTCAGCTTCGCTGGGGAAGAGAACTGCATTCTTGACACTAAAACCAATGGTTTCTTCTGTATCACTAACAATGCCGTCCCATGACTCATCGCAAATACCATCTCTTGGCTCTGACCGTGAAGGATTCCATACCCGATGCTGCTATTAAAAAACAGAAATATGATTCAATTGTGTATGTTTCAAAGTCATTTGGATCTTAAAAAACAAAAATATGATTCAATTGTGTGTGTTTCAAAGTCTTTTGAATCTCTAGATACATTTTATTCCTACGTGAAGATAGATTGCTTCTAACCTAATATAATAGAAAGTTAAGTCAAATGTAGACTGTTTGATGCTCAGACAAATATACATCACGCCATTAAATCAAATACAGTAACTACTAGGATTGCTATGCTCTTAATAAACCCATGATATCAATTATCAAGCCGAAGTGCCTTCAAGTTTAAAACAATCTCATTGCAGTTTTATACAGTAAATCAACTTGTGAATTATGTGAATAAATAGACAAATAAGAAATAACTCAATCACGGAAGAGAACTGTAAAAATTCTCTAAAATCAGTTTGTGTCAATACCTGAAATTCATTGTAATCAAGAACTCCATTTCCATCTATATCTGCTTGCAACCACAAGTCGTTTATCTCCTCAGCACTCAGCCCATAGCATTGACCAATCAAATTAAGCTGTGGGTCAGGGTACAAATGTTTAGCATCGTTTCACAGGATAGAATAAGAGAAAGAACAGAAAATCCTCTGGAAGTTCAATCCACATGTGTGCAGACTGCAGCACATGTACAGTGGTAGAGACATTATGAGTTCATGACTTGAAAGTACCTGCCGGAGTGCTTCACAAAACCCAGCATATGTAATGTAATCACCATCACTGTCTGCTTTAAGGAAAGCAAATGCATCTTTCTCAGTCAACGAGGCTCGACGAAGTTGATACTGAAATTGAACTAATAGTTAGATAGAGTACCCTCTAAAAGGAAAATTTCATTCTTTTACAATGCTGAACAAATCAAAACATGTCATACACACGTTCATGTATAAAATAAAGTGGACCAAGGACTAGGAACTAATTAAGAGAAAAACCACAAGATTCAAATCCTGCACAACAATATTTCACATAAAATTGGAATTACAACAGAAAAGCATGTAGGTAATCATAGTGGAATCTGCATCAAGTTTCAGCTTCTTATTGTGACCAAAGTGGAATGCTTTGCAATCATGATTTCAACATATAATCAGATGATGCCCAATGACCAGCTACTAAAGTTAAAGAATATACTATCTTTACCTTGAACATACTGAAAATTGCATTTCTCCAACTTGTTTTCAGCAATTTCCTGTAGCTATTTGGATTCAAAAGCCATATAAAATCCACACCACAGATGTTCCCACGGTGATTACGGTGGCTCACCCACTGCAAAATAGAAAAGGAATCAGCATCAAAGTAGGTTTGCAATGTCGGGGGGTCATGAGTAGATTAAGCAATGAAAGATAAGGGACCTTTTGAGCATCAGTATCAGTGTACTGGTGAGCAATATCATACGATGATACAAATCCTTGAGATCTGAGGAATTTGTAAATATGGCCGCGCTTGCTCCCATTCCAGTCACTTCAAAATTACAAAAGATTTAGCAAAATAGGCCAGTGACGTTCGAATCCAAAAACAAACACAAGAAGAGGTAGTTATGTATTACCCGCACAGAATGATTGGCAAGGGGTTAAGCTTATTTTCTTTCTGGTATGAGTCCACATATTGCAAAATCTTGTAGACCTGTGCAACCATGATTGGAGACAAATGTATCAGTAAAAATTGAAGGAGATTATCGCTCTGCTGCTGAGAAAAATGACCATATAAAGATTGATTTACCTGTCGCAGACGTTCCATAGAGAAACTTGAATCATGAGGAAACAAAAGGTGTGTGTTCACTATCAACATTTCTTGCCGAACGTTCTTGGTTCGACATTGTGCGAAAGGTGCAAGTAGTTCAACATGCAGTAGCTGTGCAACACGGTCACCAAAATCATTGAAAAGCAACTCTCTATGAGCAATAACCTTGAAGTAATCCTTATGAACAGCTGTCAGCAGACCTATATATGACATGAAGCAATTCAACAATGAATCAAGAATCCACCCAACATAACAAAGACCTAAGGCAATACTGTGCACTTTGCATAGAGGTCAACAAAAATTTATATCAACAAAATTGGAAAACAGCCTCCCAACTTGAAAGTATTGATTTAGTTAAAAAGCAGAGATAGTGAGAAATCTATTAAAATATATAAAAAAAATATCTGTGGGAAACCCAATAACAAAACAGTCACTTGGTTCTACGATAGTGAAGGAACCCACACTTAAGCTTAGTTTGCCATTTATATGGGTTTGACCCCCTAGTTACCGTAACATATAAAAGACTACTTTTATTAATTTGAGAGGGATTATTGGCAACCATAAACATCAAAACCGTGAAGGAGCTAGAATTTTGAGTTTATACGGTTCTAAAAGAAGACTAGTTGACAAATTATTTGAACTTACAACTGATTTTACAGGGTTTTAGTCAAAGAGGGGGTGGGTTGGCTAAACTGTACAGGTAAAAACAACAACTTTTCTGGTGTCAATAATAAAATAGAAAGAAAGAAGTATACCATCACCACGATTATTGGTTCGTGCAAGCTTGAAATTATTATATCCAGCATCTCCAAGCCTCTTGTCATACATACCAACAAGTTCTTCATTCCCAACCCAGAATTCCTATAAACCAATTTAACCATCTTAAATATCATCCACAACAAACATATTAAGAACCAATATCATAAACAAAAAAAAGTGATTAAAACTCCTAACCTGAAGACAAATAATGGATGACCTCTCAAACAACAACCAATCCAATATCCTATTGTTCCTGCTCAACCAATTCGCCTTGTAATCGCTTTCTCTACAACTCTGGTCCTAAAATCCCCATAAAAAAAATTCCCATTAACAGATCGTTAAACCAAACAAAAAGCAGGACAAAAAAACACAGACGAAACTACCCTTCGGGTGTCTCAGATGATTAGGCTTGAAACTTCCACAACGGAGGTCTCAAATTCAAAATCCCTTGCCGAACGGGATTTGCATACCACCGTGCAACACCAAAGGGTAGCAACTGCGATTCCCTTTATCATGAATAAAAAAAAAGGCAATAATGGCAATTGAAACCAACCTCATGATTGAGTCTTTTATAAATGGGTGCGAGAATATTGAAGGTGGTACATGAAATCGAATTGGGTTCATCGATTGACGATGCAATCGCATAAGTTCCAATTCTTGAGACCCTCCCGTTCGTTGTTCCTCTATTCTTCCTTCCCATACTTCAATTCAATTCAACACAAACGTATTATTACAACATACAAAATTTTCCCAATGTATAAACCCAATGATTGATGATTTATAAACCCAACAAAAACCGCCAATATCCTTTACCAACAATGGAACTCTGACAAAAATAAACACAAGATTTATATGGAAAAACTTTTTTCAGAAAAAGAACCAATGCGGATTTTTTTTTAGAGAGATGGAAAAAAATATATATGAAAATTGTTATGAATGGAGAGAAGTGGGGAAGTTGAAATATATAATTTGTTTTTTTTCATGGGTGCCAGTGAATGTTTCTCCTCCTCTCCTATTTCTACTTTTTTTTTTTAATTGTTTTTTACTTTTTTGAAATAAAAATACAATATTCTTCGACCTTTTAATTTGTATGATTTGTTCTGAATATCATACGTGGGTCCTACTTAGCAAATATATTAAAACTTGCCCAATTTAAAAATATGAGAAGAATTAAATCATCATGAGTCAATAGCTTTTTTATCCTTTAATTATTTTTTGTGTTATTTAATATTCAATTATTTGAATAATGTTTTCTATTTATTTTTGCTAATGAATATTTTATAACTTGTTAAAATTTACTAAAAGTGTTATTTTCCTTAATAATTACAACAAGTAAAAAAGAAATTAAAGTGAACGGCGGCAAAGTGCTTCACAATAATGGATGTGCTTTTTTTCCCATTCGACAGTAATATGTTGAATAGAACGTATATAAAAAAAATCTCTATACAAATAAAACTTGCATACATTTATTTTTTCTTGATTTCATTTATAAATCTATATATATATTGAAAAAAGATTTATTATTATGATATGAAATAATTTATATATCTTGCAAATTGTTTGCTAGTCTCTAGTAAATATATAAATAGATGGTGTGGGGTTTGGTCCATGCACCTGGAGAAATGTACTTGATTAATGACTTATTGTGAAAATGAGTTGGTGATAAAAATAGCATTTTTTGAGAATGTTTCTCTTATATATATATAATATATGAGAGAAAATTTACAAAAAAAAAAATAAAGACTGAGCAACTTACATATTTAATGTATTTGTAAGCCTGTAAGATGGCCTGTATAAAATTTCACAATTATCAATAAAATAACAAGAAAATCAATTATCTAGATGACTATTAAAAATAATAAATGATAAAAGAAATTCATCTAAAAAAAAATTAGAGTATTCTTAGTTCTACGATGGCTTGTTTTCATCCAAAAATTCTTGATAAAAATATATTTTTCATTTTTCATTTACTCAATTAAATGTACTAATTTCTTAAAAATAAACTATTAAAATTAGAATACTTACTTCAATCCAAATTTGTATATAGAAGAAAAAAACATAGCGTGTAATATAATCTGCATATAAAAAAATAATAAATTAATATACGAATAAAGCTAATGATCAATCAAAAAAGAAGGTAGTTTAATATTAATTATTAATGTAGAATATACATAAAAGTGGTTAAGAAGTTAGAACTTCACTCCAACTCAAATCTCATTTGAATTTAAATTTAAATACCACCTTTTTTTTGGGAAAAAAAAGATCTTTTTATTTTTCTTCCTTATCCTAGATTGTTGAAAATATAATATATATTTTTCTAATAAATTATATATTTAAATTGAGATAAATATTTAGGATATTTTATTTTTTCCTATATTTTGTTTTTCTTTTATCTTTCCCTCGTGTATCTTCATTTTTTCTTTTGATTGTTATATTTTATATTTATTATTATTATTACTATCGTGGCAATGTATTACTATTAATATTTATATATTAATTATTATTATTATTATAACTATTGTTAGTATTAATTTTATATCTTTAAAAGTAAATCAACTTTATTAGAATTTATTTTGTAAAATTTGAAAAAGACAAACTTATAAAATAGTATGAGTTGATTTAGAATTCTTATGGCTATGAATTTCAATTTCAAATCTATGAGAAAAGTTAGAATTCTATTCCAACTCAAATTTCATATAGATTGAAATTCCCCACGTGATAAATTTACTCATTTAATTCATCTATCAATTATCAATTTATTTGTTTATGCTTTATCAAAAAGCTAATTATAATAAATCTATAAAAACTTGTTGTTCTCGTGTCCTTAAACTAACCTTTCATTATATAATAAAAATTCATATACATAAAAGTAAAAAAAAAACTAATTATAAAAATATTGTGTAGTATATTGTTACCTTGCTAATACTCTAACATATATTGCATCTCAAATAATTTAAGCAGTACTACTGGTTTGATTATATTAAAAAAATAAACGAAAAACATAATAATGAAAAAAATTACTTACTTCAATTCAAGATATGATTTAGTTTGTAATAGACAATCTCTCATCTGCGTATAGAAAATAAAAATATTTTTAAAAAAATCTATAATAAAATAAAGAATATGAAGAAGATAGTAAACTCACCAATGAATCTAATGACCGGTGGTGAAAAATATGAAGATTAACATTATATGACATTGTGAAAATATAAATAAAAGAGGTTAAAAAGTTAGAATTCTATTTGAACTCAAACATCATTTAAATTTAAATTTAATATAATATCTTTTTTTAGAAAGAAAATATTTTTGTTACCTTACTTATTCTTAATTTTTTAAAATAATGCATATTTCTTATAAGCTATATATTTGAATTTCAACAAAATATTTGAAAATTAATGAAATTTGTTTTTCCTACGCTTTTTTGTTTCTTTTCTTTCTTTTGTTGATTTGTTATTTATTTTCTGAAAAAACAACTAACATAAATTAAATATATAAGAGTAATATTTTATTTTTTCCTACGTTTTTCGCCCTCCTTATCTTTTATATTTCTTTTTTCTCCTTTGGTTGTTTTTTTCTTTTTTATATATATATTATTACTATTATTATTATTAATTTATTATTGCTGCTGCTATAATTTGTTTATTATTATTATTATATCATATTTTTTATTTTATCTAATATTAATATTGAATGTAATCAAATATATTTTATAATATTTGATGGTAACAAGTTTATGAAAAAGTTGGAGTTGATTTAGAACTCCTGAGCCATTAGTTTCTACTTTTAAG